GTTCGGGGTTCTCACGCTTATTTTAACAATTCCCCCAAAGAACTGTTTCTCATCAAATTAAAATACTTCTGCACAGCCAAGGAAATAATCAACAGAACAAACAGACGATCTCCAGAATGGGAGAAAACATCCAACAAAGGGCTGATAACCAGAATCTACAAAGAAAGAACTCGAAAAAATCAGCAAGAAAAATATCAATACCCTTAAAAAGCCAAAGACATTAACAGAAGGTTTTCCAAAGAAGAATTAATGGTCAATAAACATCTCAAAAAAATCCTTACCATCACTCATCATCAGACAAATGCAAATCAAAAGCAGAGGGAGGGATCTCCTAGCCCCAGTGAGAAGGGCTTTCATCAAAACTCACAAAACAATAGATGCCGTGTGGATGTGGAGAGAAAGGAACACTTGTCCCTGTTGGTAGGTCTGCAAACTAATACAACCTCTGTGGGAAATAGCACGGAGATACCTCAAAGCACTAAAAGTAGACCTTCCAGCAATCCCACTACGGGGTATTTACCCAAATATAAAAAAGAAATGTGGTTAAAATGACCCTTGCACTAAAACGTTTGTTGCAACACAATTCACAATTGCAAAGATGTAGAATCAACCCAAGTGCCCATCAAGTCACAAATGGATTAATAAAAGGTGGGATTTGTATACCATGGAATACCACTCAGCCAAAAAACGAATGGATATCTTTTGCCACAATCTGGATGGGACTGGAGTTCATTTTCCTAAGTGAAATATTGCAAGGATGGAGAAATAAATACCACACGTACTCACTATTAAATTGGAACTAACCAGTCAGCACTCAGACAGAAATAAAACTCAGTGGAAATCAAGGAGGGGGAGAAGGGAGGAGGGGATGGCTGAAATCCTACCTACTGGTAAACACTGTCTGACTAACGAAATAATGATATCTGGGTGATGGGCACACTTATAACTTTGACTCAGCAGCACAAAGCCAATCCATGCAGCCAAAACATTAGTGCATCCTTAATATTCTGAAATTCTTCTGTAAAGAAGTACAGAAAATTTTAAAAAAGAATTCTATATTTCATCAGTGGAAATGTTGGGTTGACAATGTTATGAGAATCTTTGGCTATCTTAACCCCCAAATTAAATATTTGTCTTACTTGGAAAACGGGTGTTTATTTTTGGTTCTGTTTTGTTTTTTGGCGGGTGGGGGTAGTAGTCACAGTGGTGATGACACTAGTGTGGGATGCAGAGAGCCTGACGGTGCCAGCAGGTAGCTGGACGACTTGGAAAGTATCAAAACACTTTATCTCACCCCTCTAATTGGGGGGATAATTAGTAGGCTGTAACAAGAATTAAACTGGCTAATATTGGGGAAATGCCTAGCAGAGTGGTCTTGCTGTTATTGAATTCTAGGTTATTTTCTTTATTTGTAACATGAGTAGATTAAACAATCCCAATCTAATTCTAACGACCTGTGAAGCAGAAATGATGGCAGTAGCAAACGATAACTTTAAAAGCATTATTGTATATATACAATATATTACAATACATATTCAATATATCCAATTATTTAAGGAGAATTATGAACATAATGAGGGAAGTATGAGATATGAAGTTGCTACTGAACATTTTAAATCTGAAAGCTACAATACGTGAAATGAGAAATTCACTGGATAAGCTTAGTGGTGGATTAAACACTGAAGGAAAAAACATTAGCAAACTTGAAGATAGAATGATAGAAATGAACCGAAAGGAAACAAAGAGAGAAGAAGACGGGCCAGTAAGAAAGGACAGAGCCTTGTGATGTGTGGGACCATAGCAAGCATCTCTGTAATTGGGCTGTCAGGAGGAGAGGTGAGAGAGTGTAGGCCAAAAGACATATTTGAATTAATAATGACAAAAAAATCCAAATTTCATGAAAATTATAAACCCATGGAACTACAGCAAGACACATTAAAATGTAACCTCCGAAAATCAAAGGTAAACAGAAAATCTGAAAAGAAGTCAAAGACAAAAAATATGTAAGGAACACAGAAGATTTCTCCTTGAAGGGTATATAAGCCAGAATATAACGTAAAGGAGAGAGAGGAACCATTCCCTTAGAATTCACTTAGGGTTTTGTATTTGGCCAAGAGATCTTTCAAATCAATAAATTAAGAAGAATTAACTTCCAAAAAGACCTTCACTGTAAGAAATTTCAAAGGGAGTTATTCAAGTAGAATAAAAATGGTATCAGGAGTGGTATGATTAATGACAAATGTTATCACACTTACCGTAACAACCAAAAGAATTAAATGAAGTAGAATAACTAATGTATCCATTTGGAATTAGAAAAACATTTACCCCAAGAGATGATCCAAAAGGGAGAAAATAGAACCAAAGAAGACATAGAACTAGTGGGAAATAAATACGAAAGGGTATTTTCTGATATGTTCAAACCCAAGCATAACAATAATTACATTTGATGTAAAGGATCTCAGTCCTATAAATAAAAGAGATTAATAGACTGGATAAAACAAGACTCCTCTATACCGGGATTCCATGAAGTTTGTGTGCAATCTGCATACTTTAAATCATAATAACGTAAGTTAAAATATTGGAAAAATGTTCACCATTACAAACAAAAATCATAAGAGAGCAGAAATAAATGTTAGTAACAGAAAAAAATTGGCACAAAACAAGGATAATTTCCAGGGATGAGGAGAGTCTTTCATTAACAGTAAGGGGGGAAACTGTCAAGAAGACAGAATAATCTTATACATTTATCTATGTGTATTTATGTGTATTGAATAACAGAGCTTCAAAATACATAGAGCGCAAACTTAGAGAGATAGGCAAATCCACAAATAGAGTCGGAGAGTGCAACATTCTCCCTCACTAATTGGTAGAACTTGAAGATGAAAATTTGAGCAACAGTAACAACCACCTTGATGTAATGGACTTAGAATTTGACTGAACAGCAGCACAATAAACATTTGTGAGTGCATCTAAAGTATTCACTAAGATCTACCATACTAAAAAAAAAAAAAAAAAATAGACCAGTGTCTATAAAGAAGAACAAAAACATGGAAAATAGTTACATTCTAAAAAAAAAAAAAAAAAATAGACCATACTCTTAGTCATAAAACAAACCTGAATAAACACAAAGGTTGGCAAATTTTGTAAACTTATAAAGCAACACACAGACTGAAAGGACAAGAATCCATTGATTTTGAGGCTGAAGATTACAATTTTCTTCCATCACTATTGTTTTAAAACGTTTCCTTCAAACAATTCACTTTTCTACTAAGAATTTTATACTGGTTAAACATGCGCTTGCAAACTAAACGTGTACCATTAAAAATGGAAATATGTATCATCTGTTTTCAATGTTTGGATTCCTATGAAAGTTTATTTGAGGGGGAGTACTATTGTTCAAAAGAACTTTAAGAAATTAGAAATCTCTGACTGATTTGGAAGATTCATGCCAACTGGCATACTACAAATTTGATCTGACAGTTGGCAGCCACCGGAGAGAATGGAAATACCAAGAATTAACGATAATCATTACGTAACGATAATCGTCACACCAGTGACAGCTGTCACTGAGTCCTCACTAGCATGAGGCGTTGTGCTGAGTATATTTCACCCATTTAATTCTTGCTCTTCATGTCCTTTCCTTTTACAGGTTTGGAACAGGAAGTCATCAAAGTAAAATAGTCTGCCTGAGGTCACATGGCTAGAAAACGCCAGCGCCAGAATTTGAACCTAGTCAAGTCATTTCTCTACGTAGTTTTTCATTGTCAAAGCCAGTGTCAGAACATTGGCATTAGACACAAAGACCTTGTGATTTCCTACTTCAGCACTTTGTAAAGCATTTAATTGGTTCTCTTTGGCCTTGACTTGAAATTTGCCTCTTCACTGGTCTGTCTTGTTTGATAAGTTCATCAAACATCAAGACTCTTTGTTCATTTTCAAAAAGGATTACAATGATAAGCTTTTATAATTAAGGGTATCTTGGCAGAGATTTCCTTTCCCATGGCTCCCCTGCCTTTATCTTCTAATTATTAGAGATGAATTTTCTGATTTTTCAGAATTGTATTTGCTTTAAATACAAGTTACAAATTAACTGCTTATCAAAATGCTTCCCCTCTTCTGAACTATTACTTAAACAACAAAAAAAAAACCTCTGGCTCTAACATTTAATAAGTACTAATGATTCAAAATGTCATCAACTAACGGGAATTTGAATAAAATAAGTCTATTTAAAATCTTCAGTATCTGGCAGACAGGGACTGCTTTAAAGCCCTCCTAAAAGGTGGAATGAGGGCCTACTTACGCACCACAAAATACTTGATATTGTGGTATTAAGAACATGAAGCCAGGTTGGAAATTCAAGGAAATAGAATGCAATGTACATTTGAAAAAAATCTCTTCCCTCTGTTATCCCCTAGCCAGAGGTAGGCTCATTTTTAGAATGAAATAACCCAGTATCTCTACAATCCTTTGCTTTCCTCAAAATGAGTTTGCATACATTATGCCATTCTATCTTCTCTACACCCCGTGAGACAGGGATCCTTATGATTCTCTTTTACAGATAAAGAAGTAGAGGCATGATGTTACCTGTCCAACATCAGCCAAGGGAGCTATCATTTATTAAATGCCTACTGTAAGCGGAGTGCATTTTATATCCGGGATCTCATTTCAACTACTAATGTGGAAGGGGCATGATTATTCTCTGCTACTACTGCTCTTTCAGAAGAGACACGGTTATTCTCATTTGACAGCCCGGGAAACTGAGGATCAAAGAGATTAAATGATTTTTCTCCAGATTGCCCAGCTACTAAGTAATAGAGCTGTGATTTATACATGACCTGACTCCCAATCCAGGGTCTCTTCACTTTCCACCCCCCTTCTTAGGATTAGTAATAATATAAAAAGAGGTGGCATCCCATCCTAACACAGCCTACTGCAAACATAAAAGTGTCTCCGTTCCCCAGCAGGTGATTCCCGTGCACAGAGACGTATGGTTCACTTACTGGTTCACCTTCTCCCGTGCAGTTACCCCAGGCTGACAAGTCATCAAAAATAAGATGAAGAAAGCAACAGCAAACATTTCATCCGGAAACCACCACACTCTTTTGCCTTGAAGGAATACAACTATCTACTGGAGGAATTGGAGTAAAAGGCGTCTGCAGGCTGGCACCCGGGAGGGCTGTCTGATGCTTGAAACCACCAGCACTTACCCAGTTCTCATCCAAATGTGTTTAATTAGTAACCAGGCTATCGATTAGCCAAACACCCTACAAGTGGCCCAGATAGCAAAGACCACTGCCCTTTAGAGCAGAAGATAGTTCACCAATCCCAGCTAAGCAGAGGGATCTTATTTTCAGACGGAGGCAAAAGCCAAACCAGGATGTGGTTCCAGAAGTGTGTGTTCTTTGCCAGTGGCTCTTGCAGCCCTTCTGAGGTCCGATCAGTCTGTTTTGCAGGATGGAAACCAAGCTAATGCTGTGTATCAGCTCAGACCTAAAGCCACCTGAAAAAGGTAGGAAATGCCAATAGTAACAAGAAGGTTCTACCCTCCCTTGACAAACACCTGGAGCCTGAAAAATACATGTAATTCAATGGGCTTCCCTGTTTTCCTGCAGACCTTGGGTATCGTTAAGATCCAGCATATCTGTGTTTGATGGGACCAGATGTCTTAAACAAACATCTTCAGAAGCACTCTCTAGACTCAAAATGGCAAGAACAGCCTCACATCTGCACCGATGATATTGTACTGTATACGGTCTTTTGCTCTTCCGGGCGTACATTAAATTAATAGAGATAGACAGGTAGGTAGGCAGATAATAACTGAACACCTACTACGTAGCAGGCATTTCCTATATCTCACATCCTCATCAGAAGTATTTGAGGTGGAAAGTATTAACTCAATTTTATAATTGAAGAACTAGAGCTCAGAGAAGTTGGTTAAATAGCCCAAGGATGCACAGCTGGATCAGTATCTGAGGGGATATTTAGATTCTCTCTTTAGAGGATGGTCCACTTTTCACTTACGTGACAATTTAACACATAACTTGCATGCATAAGAACCGTGCATCTGATTTAAATGTGAGGATTGGGTAAAGACACCCAGTCGTTATTACTATACCTTCCCTTTCTCAGATTCAGGTAAAACTTGACAGAAGAGAACGCTAATTGTGGGTCCTGAAGGACCTCTCAAGCCTCTAGTTTCCAGGTCTCTCTTCCTCTTACCTTTCTTTGTTCCAATTCCTGGGTCCTCTGGTCCTCAGTTCTACCCTACTTGTAACCCATTTGGAGAGCCACTGTCTCCCTTTGTCCACAGGTCACCCAGTCATGACAGCTAGTTCACAATGCTTTACTGAACAGGTGGCAGGATGCAGACGTGTTCTATCTGGACACCCTGGGGCCAGCTCAGGGTGACACAGCTGAGACCCACCTCTTTCACCATTCCCCTCCTCCCTCCCCCATCCATAGGCAACGCTTTGACTCAGACCCACAGAGCCCCTCCCTGCAGGTGCATCTCCTCCCATCTTCCCACAGCTCCTCTCCCGGGGAATAGACCTCACTACTAAAGTCTTCTCTCTGCCCTCCCCGATCTCTAAAATCCTGGAAAATTAATTTTCTTCTTCTTTGTAGAAGAAGAATGGTGGGTCATTATGAAAGTTTTGAGCTATACAAAAATCAAGAAATGTAAAGTCCGTGCAGACAGGAAAAAAATGAAGCCCTCCCATCACCCCCAAGAAGCCGAGCAAGGTGAAACCTGCTCAGGGTGCCGTGCAGCTGTGAATCACAAAGGATGCTGTCGACGGTGTTTCCTGGAAGTGAAATTAAGGACCACAATAATCTGTCTCTAAACTTTCGTAGGGACCTGCGTACAAGCTGTAGTATCTTTCTTCCTAAACAAGCTTTTTCTTGTTCTTTTTTTTTGAGACAGTCTTACTCTTTTGCCCTGGGTAGAGTGCTGTGGCATCATAGTTCATAGTAACCTCAAACTCTTGGGCTCAAGCGATCCTCTTGCCTCAGCTTCCCGAGTAGCTGGGCCTATAGGTGCCAACCAGGATGCCTGGCTAGTTTTTCTATTTTTCTTAAGACAGGGTCTCTCTTGCTCAGGCTGGTCTCAAATTCTCAAGCTCTAGCCCTCCACCTGTCTTGGCCTCCCAGAGTGCTAGAATTACAGGTCTGAGCCACTGTGCCTGGCCAACAAGTCTTTCTTGAAATTTCTCCGATGCCCTTTCTCTCCAACGTCCTCTCTCCTTGTCTGAGAACTCAGCAGCAGTTTCACCTGAGTCAGCTCTCGGCCCCTGTCCCCCAGCACAGCCACATCTTCATCCTCACCGTCTCTGACCCATTTCAGGGCCTCATGTCTCTCTGAGGCTCCCCTAACTGACCCTCGTGGGCCTCCGTTTCCCCTTACTACAAGCCTCCCTCCATGTCACTACTCATCTTCAAGAAAACCGGGGCAAGTAACCCCAGTCTCACGCTCAGAAAGCTTCTGTGGCTCCCCCACTGTTTATAAAATTAAAAGTCCATGTTTCTTTATAAATAGTTCTGCACCATGTTTGCACCTCGTCATGACCTTCCAATTGTCCCCACAGTACAATCAGGGTGCCTTGGACCTTCCTCACACTTTGCCACTGCTGTGACCTCACTCAGGCTGGGCTGTGACCTCACTCAGGCTGGGCCGTGACCTCACTCAGGCTGGGCCGTGACCTCACTCAGGCTGGACTGTGACCTCACTCAGGCTGGGCTGTGACCTCACTCAGGCTGGGCTGTGACCTCACTCAGGCTGGGCCTTCCACCTGAATTTATCCATTATCCCCTCCCTTCCTGCCAAGCGTCTTCTGGAATATCAGGTTTCTCCTGGATCTTTGGCTGATGGCTCGTTTGGAACGTATCTCCTTTTATCTAAGCTTCATAAACATGCTGGCCCCACTTTTACTTTTTGCCTCATATGTTTTTCTAGAGAAGTGGGGTATACCTGGAGAACAAATATTTCTTTAGGGTAAGTTCTGTGTCTGAGTCCTCTGTGTAGTCATGAATTGCACCTACCATTATATCCTTAATAAGAACTATTTCTTGATTGAGTGAATAAGCAAATGAGCCAGCTAAAAATAGGGTACCAGGCTCAGCCCCTGTAGCTCAAGTGGCTAAGGCACCAGCCACATACACCAGAGCTGGTGAGTTTGAATCCAGCCCCAGCCTGCCAAACAGTGATGACAACTACAACCAAAAAATGCCTGGGCATTGTGGCAGGCACCTGTAGTCCCAGCTACTTGGGAGGCTGAGGCAAGAGAATCCCTTAAGCCCAGGAGTTGGAGGTTGCTGTGAGCTGATGCCACAGCACTCTACCCAGGGTGACAGCTTGAGGCTCTAAAAAAAAAAAAAATAGGTCACTATTTCATAATACTTGCAGGTATCTTTTCTCATGTAATCCTCAAAATAATCTTGTGAGATAAATATTATTATCCTGAAGAGAATCGTGAGAGGCAGAGATGGTGATTAAGATGGGAAAAGGAACCAAGAGGTATGGCCTGCACAAAATGTGCCTGACCTTTTTTTTTTTTTTTTACTTTTTGGGCGGGGCTGGGTTTGAACCTGCCACCTCCAGCATATAGGGCTGGCACCCTACTTCTTTGAGCCACAGGCACCACCCAATGTGCCTGACCTTTTACCTGCCTGCTTCACCTTCACAGCAAACTCTCGAAGCCAGTAGTAACACTAATGCAGGTCTGAAGATGAAGATGTGAGATTCAGAGTGATTAAGCAATTTGCCTGCAACCACACAGCTGCTGAGTCTCAGAGTCACGGATTTATAATCTGTCCAACTGCAAATCTGGAGATCTTTTTTGGTCAGGTCCTGTGACTACTAAGCAATGTTTCAGGACTCAGGCTGGACCTTCTAGTTCCACGTCCAGTTCTCTGTCCGTTACGGATCAGCAGGGAACGAAGCCGATTTGTAGGGGATGAAGAAAGCAAAGTGAATGAAAAGATTTTCACGAAGTGAGAGCAAGAGAGAAGCTAAGTCAGATGGAGTGGTTCGTGCTGTATGTGTGTGTGTGTGTGTGTGCCTGCCTGCCTCTCTGTGTAGGCGCATGTGTGCGCACATCCACGCGTGCCGTGATGGGGTGGGGGCACCCATCTGCTTTCAGCCCAAATGTTCTAAGATGAATGGGAAATGCCAAAAAATTGTTAGGTTTGCATATGTGGATTTCACCTTAATTGTAGCGCTCTGTTATCAAAGATAGATAGTCATAGAATACCACGCAGAGTAGACGGCGAGATGACAATTCATTTTGAAAACACATTGACTGTCGGGAGGGAACACATTTCACTCTCTCAATCAGCCTGTGAGCTATGGCCTCGGAAGGGAACCTGTCCTGTGTTGGCTCAGACTGCCTGCTAAGTCAGGGTGATGTCCAGACCTGTGCTCTCTGGGAAGCTTTTACACCCCACCCCACCCCGTGCTGGCCTGCAGTTTGCACCTATTAGAATAGGAGATCAAAATTCTGCTAGTCGGATGCAAATGAGGCACTGTCAGAGAGCGGAAGGAACACAGCTTCAGGCCAGAAAGTGCCATTAACCAGGGTCCTAGCCTTCGTTCCTACAGTTGTAAACTGGTAAAACTATACCTGCCTAACAGGATAGGATTTAATACTAAATGAAGAAATCTATTCACAACTGGGCGTGTTGAACAAATGTTGCCAATTTATTTCAAAAATGCTTCCCCTGGATTGTGCCTGTGGCTCAAGGAGTAGAGCGCCAGGGCCCCATTTCCTGGCCCACCCCGGCCAAAACCGCAAAAAAAAGAAAGAAAAGAAAAGAGAAAAAGAAAATGCTTCCCCTTTCCAGTATGGTTTTCCCCATTCATCTTCAGGAGAGCTTTGGTGTAAGTACGAAGGAAGCTGAGAAGGAGGAGGAAGGAGTGACTGGTAAGAGGACTATTGAGGAGGATGGCAAGTGGGAAGTCCGTGTTCAGGTGTCTTGGTCTGGTTTTGAGCCCCTGTGAAGGAAGGATGCTACGGGCAGAAATCTGATGGAATGACTCCAGCGGTAAGGCCCAGCTGAAAAAGTGGTAGAGAGCCCCCTTCCCTGTCTCTGCCCAGGTTCCAGAACCATAATGGCCCCTCAAGGGTTGAAAACTTTGGGAGCAACTGGAAGTAACAATTTCAACTTAGACGTGGCCAATGTCACGACAGCTGCAGCAAATGTGAAGTCTGCCTGG